TTCTCATCAGGTTGAACCGCCTGATGTAAGAACGAAGCCCCTCCTTCTCACCCTGCTGAATTGTTCCCAAATCAAGGGTCGTTTTCTTTGCAGGGATGTTCATGGCGAAGTTGGAGGCAAACAAGTAAGCAAGCGTCCTGAAGCTGTTTACACAACCAGTCGGCAGGTTGCCGAACCATTGCTGTGCGATTCCCTTGAGAGTCGCTGGGAAACACTTGCACCAAGTGGGATCATCCAACCCTTGAAGGTACATCAGGTTGGTGAATGCCATCAGATGGTCTTCCGGATTAGTAGTGCCGTCATAGGCGCCTACTAGTACATTTTTTACTTTGGCCGGCTGAACGGCTTCAGTAATTTCCTTGGAGAAGGCCGACGGCTGTTCACCAAGTCTAAGCAACCGTAGCTGCCAGTCCATAGGTTGGACGTTTTTTGCTGCAGGTCCACCAAATGGAGGTGGCTGCATAAAATACTGTTGTTGCGGTACAAACGGTGGGTTTGGTACCGCCTGGGCACTATGAAAGCCGGACTGACGGGAGGTACCGCCTGACTGACTCTCATGGTACGACTGTGTATGCCTCATGGAGGTATTTTGTAAACTTTCTTGAAAATTTGAAGTAGAGGCCGACTCTGACAGTCGGTCACTCTTCTTCTGTTCTAACAGCAGACGAGCGTCTGTGTATGTTTTCTTCGACCCGTCCGCCTGAATGTGACGAACAGGTTTCCTATTTCCCGTAGGATAACGGAATTTTGTGAAATCAAGAGCAAGTGGCTCCCGCTTCTTGGATTTAGGATGAGGAGTCGCCTCTCGCCCTTGAACTGGCTTCCTCTTCAGTGAAGTGGAAGGTTTTTTGGCCGACTGCTCTCTGACTGAAGCAGGCGGCTGTTTGTTGATCAATTCTTGAATCTCTCCCTTGAAGCCCCTCATGAAGGTCATGAGTTCGTTCCTTGTGATGGGAGCAGACCCATCAGTCGGCTGTTTCCGAGCAGGCTGGGCGCCTGCTGGCTCGCTTCCTGTTTGAAGATGCTCCCGTTCCCCCCTTTCGGTATGACGGGTACGTCGGGCCCTTAGGGTCCCGTCTGGAGCTGTATGAGTTTCCACTTCAAATTCACTTTCGGTGTCAGGGTCCGACTGAACTTGAGGGTCGTCTAGGGGACGCCTCTCTTCAGGAGTCGGTACAGACTTGGATGCCATCTCAGAAGTACTCTCCCCACAGACGGCGCCAAATGTTTCGGGGTTTTCTGATGTCCTGCGGGAGAGTTACAACACCGAGACTGGAACCGGCCGCCTGTACCTGCAAAATAACGGAGACTCCTGAGAGCTCCGCCTCCAACGGTCAAGTTAGTACGTGATTAAGGAGTAATGATTACGGAAATTAAAGTAATGAGGTCTCTCTGGGTGAGAGTGTTTAATGTATAATCCGTGAGTGATTAGTGTTCTGTCTCTGATTCTCTCTTTTCCGTCCTTTTTTTCGTCCTCCTCTTAATGAGGATTAAGAGGAGTATTTATAGTCTTGAGAAGCGTGCCACTCTCTAGGTTTAGGGTAAACCTAGGGCTGACCGGGCCTCTAAACAGGATTGGGCCTTGGTGGCCGGTTTTCCCATTTGGCATGGGTGGACACATGGCGTGTCTCAATTGGTCCGCAGAGGACGTATCTGTGATTGACACGTGGCAGGCTCCTATTTGCCTACGTGAAGGACACGTGGCGGAACCTGGTTGGTCCACTTGTCAAAAGGTGATTGGAGGATGAAAATCCCCTAATCAAGCACCATGTTCCATCACAAGTGAGCACGTTAGTTTTTCTAACGTCCTCACTTGGGGGGCTAGTTGTACGGGATATATCGGTAGCATCCTTGATAAGCCGGTAAAAGAGTGCTGTGCAGTTTAAGCCCTCGTTAATCTGTGAATAAACCATGTCCTTACCGGCATCACTCTATGCCACGTGGAGAGCTGCTTCTCGTCACGTAGCATGTCCCTCTGGCACGTGGAGAGTTACTTGGGGTCGCGTAGGCACCTGCTGCCTATAAGGTCGGTGTGCCACCTATCTGTATAGGTGGCACCTGCTTGGTTGTGTTTCTATAAATACCCAAGCAAATCCCCATTTAAAAGGTAGAATCTCTCTCTCTCTAAAAACACTTTCTCTCTCTTCTTTCACTTTCTTCTCACAAAGGTACTGACTTTAGCATCGGAGTGGTTATTCCCGGATAACCCCTGGGCTAGCTAATCTGTATTGGCTGTGTAGGTGTGCAATTGGACGGTAAACCATTACCAGCTCTCGGACATTGACGGAAGCAGAATTCGGGAGGAATAATATTTATACGGATTATATTTATTTCCTTAAATTTTCTACTTTTGAAAATTTGTGTGTTTGAGCTCACCATTTTTCTATTTCTTTTTGACACATACCATTTCCTATTTCGTTTCCTTTTTTTTATATTTTTTTGAGGGAGTTTCATTTTTCTACATAACCTAGCTCTAATTTCTCAAAAAAAAAAAAAAAAATAAATAAATAAAAAATAAATAAAAATATATATGCTCTAACTCTTAAAATTAAACGAAGAGAGTAGAGGTGGGCATTGTGCCGTGCCGGGCCACGTGGGTCGTGCCTTGCCTGTATTTTGGCGGGTCGTGCCGTGACGGGCCACCATTTCGCGCACCCAGCCCACGACACGACAAGACCCACGTGCCTGGCATGCCGTACCGGGCCGGTCACCGTACCACCCATGTGTTTTTTTTATTTAAAAAAATCGATATATTTTTTTAACAACTTTTAAACTGGATACACTATTTAAATAATTTTATTAATTTATGCGTATGTTATTTTATTATTATAGTTCTTTATTATTTATGTTATTTTTATTATTAGTTTATTTGAAGCAGCGAATGAGTAGTCGTTTTGCACAGTTCGTGCCGCATGTCGTGCTTGGCCGTGCTCGCGGGTCAAAGTACCGTGCCGCCGACGGGTAGGGGTGTTCAAAATTTGGTCCAAACCGGAAAAATGGTCTGGACCGGACCGGACCAAACTAATCGGTCTGGTCTTCTGGTCGAGAAATTTATTTTTCCGGTTTTCGGTCCTATCCAAAACTCTATAAAAACCGATCTTGGATCGGACCAGTTTTTTGCTTAAAATTATACATAAAATTTTTAATAATGATTAAGATTATCCTTAATAAGCTTAAAAAAAATTAGTCGTATGAGGTTTTTTGTGCTAAACATACAAAAAAAAGACGTTAAAATATTGTTTTTCCTTTATTGTTTTCCGAATTTTCCAAAAATTCTTTAATAAAAATTCCAAAACCGGTCGTTTTGGCCCAAAATTTTTGGTCCGGTCTCAGTTCTTAAAAGTTAATTTTTCGGTCTTCGGTCTGGTCCAGTCTTGGACCAATGAACAGCCTGCCCGCGGATTTGTGTCGTGCCCGTGCCGAATTTTCAAAATTGTGATCACGGCATGGCCCACTCCTCGATCATCGTACTGTGTCGTGCCGTGCCGTGTCATGCCATCTTTGTGTCGAGCCCGTGCCACCCACGGGCCAGCCCGACCCAGCCCATGCCCATCTATCTCTAGAATAGAGTAATCTAGGGATGGCAATGGAGCGGGTCGGATGCGGATGATGGTACCTCCATACCCATACCCACCTAAAAATCTTATACCCATCCCCGCCCCACCACCCGCGGCGGGTACAATATCCATATACATACCCGCCCCACCGGGTACAAGATAAAATCCATCCCCGCCCCATCACCCACTTGGATATTCATACCCACCTCATACCTGCCCTAAAATCGTCCCAAACCCACTGCCATGATGTCCTATTGTATCACATTAATAACAATGATATCAAATTAGGTTAAGAAAATTGGGACTTTTATTATTCAAGCTTATTGGGTCTTAAAGGGTATCAAGTTTTATAAATTCTAAACTCTTCTAAAAGATATATGGTACGGGTATAAGATGGGTATGGGGCGGGGCGAATATGGGGGCGGTCTACTCTAAAATCCATACCTGCCCCATCATCCATGGTGGGTGCACACTTTATACCGATCACCCGCCAAACCTCCCTCCATTCCCGCCCCACTTGGGCGGGGTTGGGGCGAGTCTCCCGTTTAACCTGACCCACTGCCATCCCTAGAGTAATCATTGATCTTTCTCATCGATATTCTTCAATAGGCATAACCCTTTTTTTTTTTTACATAGTCGGCATTATCTCGATGAACACGTTTTCCCATAAATCCACATCAACATAATAAAGCAAGGCTGTTAGCAAAGTGAATTGCTAAACACTGCCAACAAAAATGATCGCCACCGCCAACATTTGGTGTGAATGGACAATCATACCCTTACTACTTCACTATCCCTTCATCCTCCCGACAACCCATAACCCCTTCCCACCGGCGACCCACATCCCCTTTTGACCGACGAGCCACCACACCCCTCTCTATGATGAGCCACCACCTTCCCTGGCCGACGGAAAGGTGGTTTTTTTTATTATTATTTTATTTCAAGCAACCACGGTAACCGGAGCCCAAAACCAGTTATAGTGGATGGTAACTGGTTTATGGTAACTGGTTTTGGGCTCCGGTTATCACGCACGGTAATCGGTTTTAAGCTCCTGTTACCACGCACGGTAATCGAATTTGGGCTCTGGTTACCAACTTACCACACACGGTAACCAGTTTTGGGCTCCGATTACCGTGATTGCTTGAAATAAAAAAACCCCACCACCTTCCCGCCAAAGGTGGTGGGTTGCAGGTCAGGGTGGTGGTGGTCATCGCCGGTCAGGGTGGTGGTGGTCATCGCCGGTCAAGATGGTGATAGTGGTAGTCGTCGGCGGTCAATGTGGTGGTGGTGGTTTTAGTCGTCAATTAGGGTGATGGTGTCAAGGTGGTAGTAATTGGTGGCAAGAACGAAGAAAGTAGTGAAATACTAAGGGCATGGTTATCTATTTACGCTAAATGTTGGCGATTTTGATTATTTTGGATAGCGTTATTTAAAACCCATTAGACTTGAGTCAACATATTAACCCGACTTAGAGAATTCTTCATTACAACTTCAGGCGTCCCAAAAAACAAAAAGTGTCGGAAAGTTTAACAATCACAGCATCATGGAAGCAGAGCTAAAGGCGATTCTCAACGATCTTGACGATCTCAAACGATCTTCTTCTGATTCATCTCTCCAAAATTCAATGGATCAGGTTAATTTCTTCTTCAACATCTCTTTTATTTTTTCTTCAATTTTATTGAATTCATTCATTATTTCACCCATTTTTTGTTTTCTGGCCACTGCATTATCGTTTCGATTGTTGTTTGATTCTATATTTTCACTGAATTTTGCATTTTCGACCTTAATTGTGTAGTGTGTTTACTCGGATTTTGCCGATCTTAGGTTTTATCAGTGTTAATCCTATAGCTGCTCTTTCATTGACCTCTACTAAGAATTGCATTTTATAAAATGAGAAATGTTAAATTACATTAAAGCCGCTATTTTTTTTTTCATTAATTAATTTTAATTGATAATTACATGCAATTGCCGTTGCATGATCTAATTTGAGCTATAACTACTTAATTGGGTTGCTGTTATAAATTATGGAAAGTGAATTAGAAGTGCTTTGGCTTAAAGTCATCATCAAATGTGATTTCTCGAGGCCCAATCAAACTCTATAGTAGTGAACAAGTGAAGAAAGACTGGTATTTTTTATTTATTTATTTATTTATTTTATTATTATTTTTTTTAAGGGTAAGGATTGTGTTAGTTATTTTTACAATGGTGTATCATTAGTTCTATATATTCAATGTGGAGGTGGGAGAGGGGCCAGTATGATAAGTGATGCAATTGTTCTTTGGAAGGAATGTTTTAGCTTTCTATATATTCAATGTGGAGTACAATTACTCCGATGTCCTTCATTTGTTGAAGGTGGGAAGGGGAGTGGATAGGAGATGTTCGATTTTAAATGACAATTTTGAAGGGGTGTATTGGCATTGCCTTTATGCTTGCTAATATTTTTTTTTCTTTCTTTCTTGTGATATTCTATATGTTATCTCCTTTTTTTTTTTCCCATTTAATAAGATTCTGTTCTATTCCACAGTATAACCCTTGGTTGGAAGTAAAAAGTCACTATGGTGCGAGAGTTCTTTATATCTGTATTTTTTTTATTGTGCTTTTTGGAATGGAAAAAATGCCCCAAATATTTCATTTACCCCAAGAATTTTCCCTTTGTATGTCATTTCTCCTAAAATTAGGCAATTATTCTTATTAATGGTGCACTCTTCTTTTATTTATGTCACATTTCCCTTTTGTCTAGGCTATTAAAGAAGAAGAGTTTTTACACAATGAAACTGTCATGGTCTTTTTCATTTTAATTGCCATATAGTGGCAGTTGACAAAAAGCTTTTAGTCTTGGATGTATGAGATGCTCCATATTAGCTAAATCAAAGTCCAAGTGACAATCCAATGTGTTAAAGCTTATCATCTTCATTAGTGAAGTAAAAGGAAGTGTGAGAGAAGTGAGTGATTTGAGTGCTACATATAGAAGGGTTACTTCCTTGTTTGGGAAGGAAAACTGACAACGCAAAAATTTCTCTGTGGAAGGGGGGGGGGGGGGGGGGTTGGGAACTCTGGTGAGTGATGTTGTAAAGTCATAAATCTTTTTTTTTTTTCCCAATTTATAATTTATATTCTTGTGTTCTACAACTCCTTAACTATGAGATTAAATTGTATTATCCCATTGACTTTCCTTTTTATCTAGCAAAGAGAATTAACAAAAGTACTAGGGTTCCATGTAGAATTTGTTTTTGGGAGAACATAGACTATCTAATACTCAATTATAATTATGAAGTGATTCATTATACCTAGTTGCTATGATGCCAAGAGACAACATTGCTAACTGCTTTTGTCACATCTTTCATATTCCTTTTCCAATTTTCCTGATTTGCAGTTGCGAATTCGAGTAGAGCATCTTGCTTCTCTTGCAGAGTCAGCACCAGTTCGGCGTTCCAAAGTCAAGGTCACCTTCTGTTTGTTAATCTTAATTGCAGCATTACTTTAACACTGTATCAGACTATTTAGTGACTTGTTGATGGGTAGATGTGCTTGTAACAGGATATGAGTGCAGAGGTTATAGACAGTAATCCTTACAGTCGATTAATGGCACTTCAGAGAATGGGCATCGTCTCTAATTATGAAAGAATACGGGATTTCTCTGTTGCAGTTGTTGTAAGTGTTTGATTCTTTCCATTCAATTTCTTGAGGTTTAATTGCTTGATTTCTTCTGATTCTACAACCTCTTTCGAACTACTAACCGTATTTTATTTAGTACAAGGTAATATTGAATTTTTTTCAATGGTTTGGCATCATCAATTCAGGGTATAGGTGGAGTTGGAAGTGTTGCAGCTGAGATGCTCACCAGATGTGGCATAGGTCGACTTTTGCTTTATGATTATGATACCGTTGAATTGGCTAATATGAATAGGCTTTTTTTCCGTCCTGAGCAGGTGTACTTCATATCTTTTTAATTTCTCTATATATATTGTTTTAGAAGAGCTTAGATTGTTTTGGCTCCATGTACCAAAATTCTTTGTTGCAACCCTTTTTCCTCATGCTGTGCGTTGTATTGTATGTTAACAGGTTGGTATGACGAAGACTGATGCTGCTGTCCAAACTCTATCTGATATAAATCCTGATGTTGTACTTGAGGCAAGTGTGTTTAAGATGTTTACCAAACTGTTAAACTGTACTTTTTCTTCCTGCTCTCTGGGTGGAAATATCCTGATTAAGTGATGTTCAAAATATTTTTGATCTTGCGAAATTACGAGGTCTAGCGAATTATTCATCAAGCTTATCATGACGATGCCAAGAACTTGAGACTTTGTGCTGTTGGGACTAATAAAATGCGGAAATGCTCTCCTAATTGTGCTTTTAGATTTTAGCAGCATCTGTGGAAGTGGTTACTACTTCATGAATAAAGGCATATATTACATTTTTTTAAAAAAAATTCTTTTTCTATCCTTCTATATTACAATTTTTCCCTATTGACTTGATATAGAGCATGAAAAATGATTTCCTTGGAAGCTACAACTTTAAAGAAAACATATTGTTGCTCAGAATTCCCTACCTTGATAGATTAATTTTCAAACTTTGGAATTGTATCATTTTAATCATGAATATTCTTATTGAGGCTTTTGTCTTGAGAGTTGTCACTGTCTCTTTAAAGCTTCCTCTAGAACCTATCTCAAGTCTTTGTCAACTTTCAGAATCTCGTACCAAGACTACCAAAGATTACATCATTTCTGCATCACCATTCTTTCAACTATAATACATTAGTTTTAAATTCAAAATATGATTTACAGAAGGCTTGTGATGCTCTGCATCAAAACTCAATATGTTGATATTTTTTCTTTTTACTTTGTTTGAAGTCTCAGCTAATATATCCTTCTTTGTTTTCAGAGCTATACAATGAACATTACAACAGTGGATGGATTTGAAACTTTCATGTCTAGTTTGAAAAAGAAAACATTTCGCTTAGATAAAGAAGGATGTGGGGTGGATCTTGTTTTGAGTTGTGTGGACAATTATGAAGCAAGGATGGTCGTAAATCAGGTTGCTTTTGTCATCATCATGAACTCCGTTTTCATTAAGCTGTTTGATGTTGGATGACGGGGATCCTGCATTCAATGCGTTCAACTTTAATATGAAATCCTGACTTGAATGTACTTTTATTTTGTAGGCATGCAATGAATTGAATCAGACATGGATGGAGTCTGGTGAGCAACATGATCATTGTGCTTGTTAAATCATTCTTTGTAAATTAATTTGTGTTACCTCTGTTAAATCATTCCTTGAATCAGTTTTGGTGACTAGGTGCATCACGTTTTATTAAGTACTACCTCTTGCATGGTCTGTTGATCCGTAGTTGTTAATGCCTTTTGTGCCTGTTATATGCAGCTTTCTTCTTTACTGATAGATTTTGTGTAAGATTAATATATATTTTCCCTTTCTTCTCCCTATTGTTTTTCACTTATTAGAACCTCCTCAGTTGTTTATAAAAGAACAACAAAATTTATAACCTAGAGACAGGACTGCAAGATTTGAAAAAACGGCCAATAACACGCTCCCATAAGCATCTTTGATCATATATCATTATGATTTTGCCACACAACTCAACAAAGGAAGAATTAAAGAACACTAACCCTTTGGGAGCAACAAATTCATCACAATGGTTGGGTGAAGCTGAACATATGCCGATTTCAACCACCCCGTGAAATTTATCACAATGGTTAACTATATATTATCTAATACTGAATTTGAAGTTGATTTTTTCTTGTTTACTAGGACTTCACCAGCTCTGCTGAGTCAAATAGTATTTAATATTATGGAGTCTGTTTTTTCTTCTCTTTTTTTTTTTGGTGTTTATGCTTGATGTTTGCAAAATTTTGTTTTATTTGAAGAAAAGAGTGTGGTTCTTTTAAGTTCCTGTTTTTAAGCTGGAATTTAGGGAAAGATGTATGGTGTTACTTATTGAGGATGATGATAATGCCATTTAAAAATAATCATTCAACTGTTCATATGAATACTCTTGGTCATGCACATTTATAAAAATAAATAAAACCTAGATTCTTGGCCAAAAGGGAATTATTTGTCACTTTGTTTCTGGGATGTTATACTGTTTTTTTTTTCCTTTCATTTGAAGTGTTAGCAATTCTGGAGCATTATGAATTTTTTCTTACCTAACATAAGGTATGATAGCGGTTAGATTACCAGAACCAGAATATGGGAGAGATCACAACTGAATAGAAGGATAGTTTCAATACAATCTGATGAGTGTGATGACAGATAACATGTTAGATAGTTCGTGTGATATTGTCTACAGATATTGATGAAATGCAAATTAGCTTTTTTTTTTCCATATTGTGTACATGGTGATGAAAAATATGCATCATAGTTTTATATAAATGTCGGGAATGTCTTACGAAGATTCTGTGCAGGTGTTTCTGAGGATGCTGTATCTGGTCATATACAATTATTAATTCCAGGAGAAACAGCTTGCTTTGCATGTGTTCCCCCCCTGGTAGGCTCATTGACTTATGCCATCACGCGTGCACAATCCAATTTGCAACTAATAGTTTTCATAGTTTGTGATGATATAATAACATTAGTCTTTGAACATGAAGGTAAATAAGCTAGATTATGGGTACCTTGCAGGTTGTGGCATCAGGAGTTGATGAGCGTACACTGAAGCGTGAAGGCGTCTGTGCAGCTTCTCTCCCAACTACAATGGTAGTTAATTATGTTTCTGTTAAAGTATATATAAGATATACTGTTTGAATACCATTCTATACTTCTTTGATCTCCTAGTTCTACATCATGCTCTGCGACATTCATGCTATATAAGCTGTGCACAGTGGCTGTCTTTTTAGATTGAGTACATTTTTAAAATCCAGATTGGTGGTACAATTTAAGGATTGTATGTTCGCACATCAACCTCTTAAATGATATAGTGGCAATCAATAGTCTTTTGCATTGATTTGCTCTCTATGTTTCTGTACACTTGTTCTTGTAGGGGGTTGTTGCTGGACTTCTTGTTCAAAATACACTCAAATATCTTCTACAATTTGGACAAGTTTCACGATACTTGGTAAATCTCACTAAACTTCCAGCATATGCTCTGTTGCCCTCTGTTTCTTGATGTCACTTGTTTGTTTTGAATGCTTCAATAACTAGACTATGTTTGAATTTCCAAGGTTTTCATTGACACCTCATTATACTTGTAGTCCTGTTCAATACTGATGGTATTCTAGATCTTAATAAACTTCCCTTTTCTCTCTAATTTTTTTTTTTTGTATACATTACTTGATCCACTTTATGTTATCAGAAGGAATCTAATTTTCTCACGTAACCTCAATATCTCTTTTGCTCCTTGATTTTAGGGTTACAATGCTTTGAAAGACTACTTCCCAACTATGGAAATGAAACCAAACACACAATGTCCAAATACCGCTTGCCTGGAGAGACAGGTACAAGATCAGAGTTGAAATTATTCTGCATTACAAGAACAAGATATTCAGGGACTCATTTGTTTAGCTTGTTGGTTTTATACTGGATTTGTTCTCTGTATGCAGAAAGAATACATGTTGGCAAAACCTTCAAGAGATGCTGCAGCCAAAGCCAAGTTGGAGGCAGAAGCATTAGTTGCTGAGGAAATTCCTCTCCATGCTGATAATGAATGGAATATCAGGTACTTCTACAATGGCATTACATGGAAGCACTGTAATGGCTTCTTTGATGTAGTCTACTGATTGGATTGTTTGCTTTTTTCTTTTTCTTTTTTTTAAAAAAAAAATTTAATTTTTTTTTATTATATTTTATTTTTTTGTGCTTGAGATAGTCTTGAATTCTAGCTTGACTTCAATATACTAATCAACTAGCTTGACGGCAATATATGGAGTACTAATCAGCGTCCACTTATAGGCAGTGTCTGAAAAACATTTATTTATTTATTTATTTATTTACTGATGTTTCTTTTATTTTTCAGTGTTGCTGATGATGCTGAGCCAGAAGATTCGGTTACTCGAAGTACAGGTAATTATGGTCAAATCTACTGTTATACATTAAAGGATGTAATTTTGGTAGTTTTTCTTTTTGAACACTCGTATTGACAGCAATCAGTGCATTCCACGCACATATACTGCCATTTTCTAATATGTTATTACTTTCAGATGCCCTTCCTGAGGGTCTAGTACATGAGCTCCCTGCTGCAGACGAATACAAACATGCACCCCCATTGGAGCAAGATGCACAAGGTGCAGACTCAACTGATGACCTTGAAGAGCTGCGTAGACAGCTTGAGGCGCTTAATGGATAGGGTTATTCTTGAGATCTTTTTTTTTTCCTTACAATTAGAAAAGGATGTTAGAATTAAACAGATAGGAAGTCCGAAGTTGAGCACTTTTTGGAATTGAGTTGTATACAATTGTTGCAAAAAAAAAGCTGCTTTAAACTGTTCTGTACAAAGATTATGAGCACAATTTTGATGATTTATCTAGAGCTGTAACTGTACATGGTTTTGCATGTGCCTTGTTAAACAGACTTAATGTCCGAAATGGGAGCTATTGTTTCAGTTGCCTCAGTGTTAGATGGTTGGTGCAAGTCATCTTGATGCTTGATAAATTAAATGCGTATCCAAAGTCGCATGGTGGGCTTTGAGTGTGAAATTTGTTCTGATACTGCTCTAGTGAATGCCTGAAAACGATGAATGACAGCATGACAGCCAAATACTACTGCATCTGTTTCATGTGTTCGCTGATGAAGTGCAAAAGGAGAACATGCTATGATACGCCAAAGCTGAATTTGCTTCTATTGCACAGTTGATACTTGTATGTATATAAAATTTTTTTAAAAAAAAAATTCTCACAAATAACCCTAAACATTGAGTCCAGTTAGAAGCAAAATTTGATAGAAATAGTCCACAAATAACCCTCAAGTTGTAAGTTTATAACACTGAAACACTACTTGATAAACAAACAGGCTCAAATGCAGCAACAACATCAAGGAACTCCTTAGGGCTCTTCAAATTTTATGCTGATCTGGTCCATTTATGGTTGATGTTTCCTGACCTGCATTAGAAACCAGTTAGAAACTCGATCACGACTTAATATAAGCCTATTTCTAACTCTCGGGTGCAGTCTTTCTAGTGGATACAAGTATAAAGAGCACGTTCAAAAGTTCGCAAATATCAATAAAAATCTTGAATGATAATGATCCCCAGTAGGCCAGTAGCCACTTGTTAGTTTGATCAGGGGATTTCAAGCCCAAACAGACTTCTTATGAATATTCCAAGAATGTTTTCTAGTTAACCACAGCATATGCCGAGTTAGTTCTGCTATTTTTTAAGGGGATCTTAGTCACCTATTATATAAGATTTATATAATGACAGCATGTTAAGAATCTTATTTCATATTTAGTGTAAGGCTACATTACTACATAGATCTCTATCTCCCCAAACCCTGTCTTAGTAAAGCTTGTATTGCATTGTTGTAACCTAGTTTAATTTTTAAAAAAAGATTGCTTCAAGCTTGTATACTGAAACCAAAAAAGACAGGGTAGAAAGTAGTCTTAAAATGTTAATAACATTCACAAACTATGCATTTCAAGTGAAAAGGGAAGCTTGCCTTTACACCAGACATTGACAGTAGTTTGTGAGAAGCGATGTAACATTTGTCGGAATTTGGAAGCCTCTTCTCCACAAAGTAGATGATTTCAGAAACTCCCGACTGTAGACAGTAAACAAATAAAGTAAGAAATGGAGAAGGCTTTAGTAGGGAGTGCCTGAACTAAATAGTAATCCAGATTGTGACATGGATAATATTATCTTTAAGCTAAGAAACACAGATTTCAAAATTTTGACACAATCAGTGATCAAACAAGGACATCTGAACAGATCATATGATATCATGCAAAGCATGGATATTAAGCAAGGCAAAGATTAAAGTCTACATGCTTTTTATATCATGATTTTTTTTCTTAAATCCTGCTGTTTTTGTTTTTTTCCATCACTGCCAATAACCTTTTGACCTTTTACAGCTCAAGTTTACATTTGATTCAATTGTGAAAAAATTGATTCGAGGACAACAGAATGGATATACAATGTTTTAGACTTGCAAATAAATAAGGTCATACTCATAAGATACATGTAAGAACTAATACATTTCAAAGTTGAAAACCAAAAGTGGGATCATCAGAGCTACCTGAATAATTATCTTAGCACATTCATTGCATGGGAACATTGTAACATATAGTTTCTGCAGAGATAAAATGAAACAAATCAGCTGCTGCACTTGTTGGCAATGACATACATTCAGGTTGGAAACGAAAACTTGGATACATTTTGCTGTTAGTAAACTAGACAGGTTTCAACTAAATTTCAAGATGGTGAAAGGCTAGTTTAGCTACCTGTCCTGCAGCAGATGCATGGTTTGTGTTGAGAATTGCATTCACTTCAGCGTGACAAACATACCTGAAAAAGGATATTTCAGGAAAAGAGACAACCACATACACTAAATCCCCAATAAAGAGAAAACAATGATGGAAATGGTAAAAATGAGATGTAACAGTTTGAGAGAGAACATCACTCACGGATACTTAGTCTCCAAAGGGTCTTCATTTTTCGACTTCTGAAATGAAAAGAAAGATTTGTTAAAAAGATTATATAATTTCTCGAACCACGCTTCAAATCAAGAGACTAACCTTTGCCCATGGAAGCTTGTCATCTGAACAACCTCGCGGAAACCCATTATAGCCAATGCCTGACTAAATAGCATATTACATGTAGCTTATGAGTTACAAATACTAAATATAAATAACAGCAAAATCCATTGTTTTGCTTTTAATCCAAACGCGATTCTTTGCAAGGAATCATACCAAGTATTACACCATTCTGGCTGACCAAGCAAGCACCAACCTATAGCAACAAATTTGAACTTTCACTATTAGCTTTGTGAACCTTAACTTAAAAAATCAGCATTATACATTGCTAGCAACCAATTAGTCATTGCTCAGTCATAACTTATCAGTCAACCATAAAATTTTAAAGCGAATTGAAATCATTACTCAAACATAACAAATTAGTCGGTCCAAGCAATTTTAATCGAATTCAAATCATTACTCAAGCATAACCAATTCATCGGTCTTTTCTTCAAAAATTAAGCCAATCAACCTAGATTATTCGACAAAATAACATAGCTAACAACCAATTAATTAGCCTTGGCATTTCTAAACGATTTCAAATAATTACACAAAATTAACACTCACATCATTTTTATATATTCAGCAATTCAAGAGAAAAATGCTTAACAACTCAAATCATGAAAAATCTTCGAATATTAGATTAGAAAAAAAATAGAGAGATTAGACCTGACGATTAGGATCTTTGGAGCGCTGAGCAGAGAGAAAAACAATGGCCATAAAATAGTCATCCCAAGATATATACCTAATCAAACCACAAATTATCAGATAAATTACCAATAAAACTATACTAATCTAATTATAATATTAACATCAATACCAATCAAACGCAACAAATTTATTAAGAAATATGTTGAAATTGAAAGCGATGCAGAGAGAGAACAAACCCTAGGCGCTTGGAAGGATCGAAAGGAGAATGAGAAGAAAGTTTAGCATTTGAGTTAGAAGATTTGGAGGAAGATTGACGGCGATGTTGCTTAGGGTTGTTGAAGAAGAAGCGTATAACAATGGCTGATGCGATAGCGCCGATCACAGTAGCTGATGAAATCAAGGTAACATCTCTTGAATTCATGGTTTCACCAGTTAACAGAGAAAGAGAGAGAAGAGAGAAGAGAGAGAGAGAGAGAGAGTTGGCAGGAACTGTAGTGGTGAAGGAAAAAGGAGCGGGAAATGTTTATTTCATGTGAAATGGATATAGGGTTTGGGCTTGGGGCATTGGGCTGCAGACAATGCGATTCGAGCCGAGTTTTAATAAGTTCGAGTTTGAGCTAATTTTGGTTAATTGTTTATGGCTAGACTCTAGTTTAGCCATTTATCCCTACACCCCTCCTAAACGACGCCGTATCACTACCCCCACACATTCCTGTAACTTCCCTCTAAAACTGCCAGTAACTTCCCACTGCCCCACCCATATATATATATAATTAAAAAAAAAAAAAACTTTTCAAATAATCACATTTTTCTTTCTCATCCTCTTTCTCCAATTTCTCACTCAACCTCCATTTTCTCTCTCTACTCCATTTTCGTACATGCAATTAGCAAGTAAAATTGTCTAAAATGTTCGACATAAGAGACGAAATTGCACAATCTCGACAAATTTCAACAACAACAAACCAAAAATCTAATGAGTAAGTATGTTTTACATGTTTAGTGTAAAATTAATTGAAAATTGCGAAACAAAACCCTAATTTTTTGGTATTTTTTCTTTTTGATGATAATTCAGGAAAAAAATTGAAAATACTGGAGTTCCAGAACAATCAAAGTAAGTATTACTATTTTTTTTGGAATTATAAGCATAAATTTATTTAAATTTGCTCATATTTAAACAAGTTACTATTTAATTTCAAAATAAACATAATTTTCCTCTATTTCTGAGACGATAATAAAAATTTAAACAAGTTACTGTTAATATTGGAATGTATGCATAATTTTGATTAAATGATCAACCAAAAAAAATATAAAGTATAGTATTGTGAAATATAATGAACAAATACAAAACAGTATATGTTCAAATTGGATTGTGTGCATATATATGTATACATATGTTCAAATTTGTATATTATGTGTACAGCATGCAATTTATGTTTGTTTCTAAATTGTTCATTTCTAAATTTATGTGTATACATTTACTGACATATTAATTGTTCATTTCTAAATTCCATTTTGTACAAATAGAAAACATATACTTTATTCATCTGTGTAGTAAAATGAACATTTACAAAACACTATATTGTCAAAATTCATATTATGTTATATATATCCATATATGTGTATACAAATGTTCATTGCTACAACTATATTGATCATTTATATGAACTATTCTGTACATTTGTCTAACATAGAAACATCATGTCAATTTTTATGATTTACAATATTAATTTACATTGTAGTGATGTACCATTTAAAGTGATACACTTGATGCAATTTGACAATGGAATGTTCAATCCTTATCCTATAATTCATGAGAGAAAAGAATGTTCTGAAATAGACAACAAATTGGATAGAAATGAAGTTATAAAAAAGTGGGAACCCTATTTATTAGGAGACAACCTACATCCCAAGTAAGTTGATATACTTACAAATATTCATATATGTAATATTTAATGTACAATCATTTACTTCAATACTTATCTCATAATTGAAATAATTTGTAAAATTTTAGTGAACCAAAAAAGTTGAAAGTGAAATTTATAATGTCAAGATCAAGGCCAGAGAAAAATCAATCAATAAGGTATAAATACTTAATAAAAATTCAATAATTAATTTTTATACAGTTACATAATCATACTTTTATGTATTAACATTCGAAAAATTTCAGTGAACAAGAGAAGGAAACTTCAAAAATAGATGATGCATCAACAAATCAAGGGTATATTCTACCTCAATGTGTTTAATGTTCATTTATTTCTTAGTTGTCATACATAATCTAATGATTTGCATTCTCAGAAAAAAAAAAAACAACTGAAGAGGAAGCAAAAACTGATCACCTACAACAAGAAAAGGCTGGATCAGAATTAGTGAATACAGGGTATTTGATTCCCATAATGTTCATTTTCATATTACTTAATAAACATTTTTAATTATTTGAAATTAATTGATTTTCAGAAATCAATCACCTAAGAAAGACACAAGAGAGGTTGAACAACTACAACCAAAAAAGGATGCAGCAGGGTATTTTCAGAAATCAACTAATGTTCATTTTCATATTAGTTGATAAACATTTTTAATCATTTTCAATTTTTAATTTTCAGAAATCAATCAACTGAAGATGAGCCTCCAAAAGAGGCTACAGCAAAGGATCAGCCTACACAACAAGTGAAGGCTATAGCAGAGGATGAGCCTCCAGCAGAGGAAGAGCCTCCAAAAGAGGATGAGCCTCCAGCAGCCGTTGAAGAAACACATTCATACATAATGCAAAAGTATGAACATATATAACTTATTAAATGTTTCTATTCCACATTTACAATATTATTGATCATAAATTATCTGTTGCCAGGAAAAAATTAAAAGTGTCAACTCAAGGAATACTAAAAAAACTGACAAAAAACTGGAAAACTGCTCCTGTTAGCAAGGTCATTGCTGCTAAAAAGGCCCTGCTACAACTGTTGATACTGCTGGAAAAGCCACTGCTGCTGAAATGGCCCCAGCTACAACTACTGAAAAGTCCTCTGCTGCAGAAAAATCCCATGCAACAAGTTCTGCAAATGCACAACAGAAGGCCCCTGCTGAAATTAAAAAAAATCCTATTAGGTAATGTACATAATTGTTAAATTAAATATTAAATTTTTTTAATCAATAACACTTATACTGAAAATGTTCATTTACCAATTTGTAAATGATCTAAATGTATAGGTGGTGAAGAAATTGAGATTGAGGATGAAACAGAAGAAGAATTGGAAAGACAAGAAGAATTGCAAAGGGATGAGGAGTTGACAAGAATATTGAGAGGTATAAAACCTGTTGAAGAGTTAAATTTGTCTCAAAAGAGTGAAGAATCTTCACAAAATTCAAAGCAACCAAGAAGGAAAATGGTTGCAAGGAAAAATCAAAAGAAAAAAGAATTGGAAGAAAATCAGAAAAAACAGGAATATGAACAATCACCAGCAAGAAGAACAAGAAGTAAATCACGAGGTAAATAAAATGTACAATTTCTAATATAACAATGATCATATTAAATAAAATATTACAACTATATTAATATTTATATAACAATGTTTATTTGCAGATGTTAAGTTGCCTGACATATCAGCTATAGCAACAGCTGCTGCAGCAATTGCTGAAAACCTACCAGCAGCAACAACACCCAAAAAACCTAGGCGTCCAAGGGTTGCAACTGCAGTTGCAGAGAAACCTGTTGAGAAAACAGGGCGTACAAGGGCTGCAGTTATTGGGAAAGCAGGCTAAAAAGGTAAAAGAACATATCTAAAACAATAAATGTTCAATTACAATCTTACACTTTTAAAATGTTTATTTTACTTAATGTAATTGATCAAATAATTAGGTGGTCAGAAAAGACCTGCTGTATCAGCCAAAAGTCCTGCAAAAAAAAGAAAAGTCATAGATCAAGTGCCTTATGATGAACCATCAGAGGATGAAGAACAAGAAGAAGTCCCTGCAATAAGTTCTGCTCCTGCAGAAAAGAAAATTCTTAAAAAAGTAGAACAAAAAGGTAATGAACATATTAATAAAGTTAAATGTTCAAATACAAACTAGCAATTTACACTTTCATATATATATGTTCATTTTACATATTATAATTGATCAAATGTTTAGGTGGCCAGAAGAGGCCTTCTGCATTAGCTAAAGGCCCTTTGAAGAAAACAAAAATCATTGAAGAACAATCAAAGGAGGAAAATGAAGAAGATGATAAAAGTAATACTGATAGTGGATCAGACAGTGAGGATCCAGCTTTTGATGCTGAAAAAGAAGAAGATGAAGAAAGTGAGGAGGTGGAAGTAGTTCAAGAAAAGAAAACAACATTGAAAAAACCAAAAGCTGAAGAAAAAAGAATGGTTCTGTATGAGAGGGAACCAATAAAAAAGATTGTGAAGAGGAAAACTGAATTTTCAGTGGCTAAAAAAAAAAGAAGAGGAGGAAGAAAAGAATGAAGAGGAAGTTGGAAGTTCGACAAGAGGAGGCCATGTCAAATTCATGCATTGGGTTAAGAAAATGAGTGATACACAGAAGAAATTAGTGCATGAAATAGGACTGGGGCCGTTGTTGGATATAGAACTTCCTCAGCTTGACAAACAATTCAACCATTGGGTTTTAGATAGCTTTGAAGTCAGTAGTTGTAGTTTTGAGCTGCCTAAAGGTGAGAAAATTGAAATTGAGGTGGAGGATGTGAGAATTGTATATGGTTTGCCAATGGGAGACATTCCCATTGTTGAAGCCAAATCAGACAGAGCAAGTGAATATTTTGGTGTATTTATAAAAAATTGGAGGTCAAAATGGCAAGGCAAAACACCATCTGTAAACCAAATTATTGCTCAATATACAAGTGATAAATTCAAAAACCAAAGGCCAGCAGAAGAAGATTTTCTCACCAACTTTTTGGTAGTTGCTGTGAATTGTTTGATGAAGTGTATTTCAAACAACCAATGCCATTTCAAGTTTCTGTTTTCTATGATGGACAAAGAAAAAATAAAAAACTTGAATTGGTGTCAGTACGTGTTTGACTCTCTCATCAGTTGTCATGTGACATGGAGAAAGAGTGGAGGAAAAGGATTCTACAATGGACCACTGTAATTTCTGATGGTAAGTTGACAACACACAATAGTAAATTATAAAATGTTCATTTTAGTAACAATGAATGTTCATTAACAAAATGTTAAATATCGATTGTCTAAAATTTTAATCTTTTATATTAATTGTTCATTTGTATTATATTATATGTTCATTTATAGTAATGGGTTTTGGTGCAGCTGTTCTACTTTGACAGAGTTCAAAGATTGAACAAAAAACAACCAAGAACAATTCCAATAATTTCTTGTTGGAAAAGGGATATGTCACTTGAAAGGATAAAAACAGAAAATGATTTGAACTATGGATATGGAAAAGTCCTTCCAAGAATAGAAGAAAAGCTTGCAGACAATCCTAAGGTACAAAATGATCATTTATAAATTATGAAATGTTCAATATCAAAACACATAATGTCTTATATGATTTTTCTTATATGTTCTATAAATGACAGGTCTTTATGAATGAATTTGCATCAATGGTACAAGAAGTTGGTGCATCTTTGGCAAGACTTTCTACCAAATTGGTTAAGGCAAAAGAGCTCTTCCCTAGGAATCAGTTGGTCAAGAAGGTAGATGAAGTGTTGGGAAAGATGGCAAGAGAACAATCAATTCTCAGCCAAGATGAAGAAATATTTGGATCAGAGGATTTTTTGAATGCCATAGCTCAAATTGAGAAGGAACTAATGGAGGCAAGTGAAGCAGAAAAAAAAGAAAATAGGAAATGAGAAGGAATATGATATAAGGAAGGCATTCAGTTTGGGTTGCAACTTAACTCCCCCAACTCCAACAACTGGTAAATATGCTTAATTAAAAACTGTCATTAATTTGAATATCCTTATTTAAAGAGTATAATATAATTAAAGAATTAAAATTTAATTTATTTGAACACAGAAGCACAGATTAATGTTGCAGCCACAACTTCAACAACAACTGATGCAAATGTTTCTTCTAAGCCAGAAGAGGGTAAAGCTTTAATATCTATGTGCAATTATGAAAAGTATAATGTTCATTTATAAAATAATAAGTTTGTTTAGTCTAAATATTCAAAAAAGTATATATTCAGAATAACAAATGTTCATTTACATTAACAATTTCATATATTTTAAATCAACAGAAAGAGTTGGAGGTTCAAATTCTGAAGAACCACAAGATGGAGGAAATTCAAAAAAAGGTAAAAAGTTCACTTATATAGTATTAAATGAACATTTGTGATTGTAAGATATTCTTCTTTAATGATACTAAGTCTATATATGTGTGAATGCAAATTAATACAAAAATCATTAAACAAAGGTGAAGGTTCAAAATCTGAAGCATTAGAAGAAAATGTTGAAGGAAATTCAAAGAGTGGTACAATGTTCACATATTACAAATAAATGATCAAATTATTAAGTATAATGTTCATTTCTAGTTATATTAAATTTTTTTCATGTATTTTGTTTGCAGCATCTGATTCAAAAGTTGGTGATCCCAAGACACCAACTGAAAATAGGGAAGCTGCTGGAGATATTTCTACAATCTTGAAATCTCCAGCATGTTCAAGTATGGAAGATATCCTTGATAAATCAAACAAGAAAGGAGGAAGCATGGGGTAAACATGGAAGACCTATCTTGTTAGAAAATATATAATTTTGAATGGACATGTAGAATAAATTTGGTTATAAAGTATAATTATTTTGGACAGTTTTTGTTTATGAAGTTAGTAATGGATATGTATTATAAAATCAGAAGGGAATATTTTGCTTTAGGGTAGGAATGCACAATTTAAGATATGTAAATTATGTATTTTAATTTAAATGTTTTAGTAATATTTTAAGTGTTTATTGTTCAAAAAAGGAGAATAATGTTTTTTTTATATTAATTACTCTTCATTACTAACCATGATTAATATTTCAGAGAAGACAAGAAGAAACAGATATATGCTTCAAATGTGAAGGAAAGGTAAATGATTATTCCACATATACATGTTCTTTTACATTAAACTGAATAATCATTTATACTATATTTATATTCAGTGAGACAAAAAAGGATTCAAAAGAAATTGAAACAGAGAAGATTCAAATTTCCAAAAACACAACAGGACAAAGGTAAATGGTCTTTACATGTGTATAGATTTATAATGTTCATTATCAATATACTAAATGATCATTCATAATTCAATATTTATTCAGTGACAGAGAGAAGACTTTGGAAAGAAAAAAATCAAGAGAAGCTGAGAAGGCAAAAACTGAGATTGCAAAGGAAAAAGAGATAAGGTATTACTATTTGTTCTTTATATAAATTATTTGTTCATTATTAAAAAAATTCATATTTGTATTAATATATGGTCACATTAACTAGGCCACAAAGGGAAATCCCAAATGTTCCTCTTGCTTTCCGATCTCCGTACATGGTCAAGTACAAGTATTTGTTCAAAGATGAAGACACAATGAACAAACTTGTAACAGACTATGCTTATAGTGGAAAAGATCAAAGGTATACATCACTTACTTCATTAAAACTTTAACATTATGTTTGTTATAAACTCATAAAATTTAAAAAATTGATATTTTGCAGTGAGCTACTATACTATGATGGAGTGAATTCGATCAATAGGGAAGAGATGAAAACTCTTGAAGGGGATACATTAGTAGTTAACAATGTGATCGATTCATGGGCAGTACTTCTGAATCAAAAAAGGTCAAAGAACAAGTTATACTTTTCAACATTTCCACATGTAAGTCTTTATTGAAATTACACATGTATACATTGGTGTACTAAAATGATCAATTCACTTATTCTAGATGATCATTATGAATATTAAAATGATCCTTGTGCATTATTTGCAGCAAATTATGTATGCAAATACAGTGTGTCATGAAGGATCATCAATGGAGCTTAGAATTGCATACTTCAAAGAAAGAATAACAAATGAATTGAGGTTATACAAAATCAAGAGTGCAGTTGGATATCAACAGGTATTAATGAACAATATGGAATTATAATATGTTCATTTACATTAATGTGTATATATAATAATATTATGTACTATGTACAGATTTTTTTTCCAGTGGCCATATATGCACATTTCTATCTTCTATGCATTGATCATATCAATGAGACAATGCATATAATTGACAACAGGAAACTGCCAAAACATCAAACAATTGCAACAAAGTATGAAAACCAACCCCAATTGGTGGTAAGTATATTGTTTAATAGATATATAAATGATCAATTTGTTTATACAAAATGATCAATATTGAAAATTAAAATGATCAATATTAATATGATCCTTTGAATTTTTTTTTCTGTATATGTTGCAGTTAAAAGGATATGCAGAATATTTAAAAGGGTTGGGGTATGAAGATGCAGATTCTATTGAGAAATATAAGGTGGTTTTGCAAAAAATGAAGTGGAGGAGCAACGAAGATTACACCAACTGTGGAGTTAACATTATGAAACATATGGAAACTTTCACTGCTGATCCAATTGAAGAATGGGTTTGTGACCTAAAACCAAACAATGTAAGTAAATTTCAACAAAACAAAAAAATATACTTCATGATCACTTTATAATACATAATGATCATTTATATCCCATTAATGTTCATGTTTATAATAAATTATTTTCTTGGAACAGGTGAACCAAATCAGAAAGCTCAGAGTACAATACACTGCTGAACTAATGCTGAATGAAGGAAACAGGCAGTCACAGAACAATAGAAGAGCAGCAAGAAGATTTGCACAAGCTTAATACAATATGTTCATATATAGACATATATATGATCATACTTGCTTTCAGTATTTGTATGGACATAAGTTTTTGTTGTTGTTCAAGTAAAGAAAAAATTTATTATCTTTTTAATATTTACAAATAGTAAAGTGTTACATTATAATTGCCAGTTTTAAATCATCTAATATAATTATTCCAATTTAATAATGGTTCTTACTATTTAAAATAGTATATGATCACTTCCAAAAGCAAAAATAATCATTTATAGAACATTTAAGAATAGTTTGAAAAAAAAAAGATTCAAATTACTTAATAAATCAAAATATAAAAAACTTAAAGCACTTGAATCTCTATAAAGTTGAGACAACTAAAAATGTTGATAGTTAAACACCAAAACATAATTGCATATTGATTTACTCTCTTATTTACCATTTGTAGCCAATCTCTTAGCCACACTAGTATCAAAAAACGCTAATAACCTATCATATTTGGTTGAAATCTGTGGAGAACCTCCTTGAGTACTTCTTGAAACAGTAGGAGATCCTTGAACATTCATTGAAACACTAGGAGAAAGTAGAACATTTCTTGAAACACTAGGAGAAACTTGCACATTCCTTGAATTTCCTTGAGTACTTCTTGGAACATTAGGAACATCATGCACATTTCTTGAAATACTAGAATCAACTTGAACATTCCAAAAAAAGCCTTGAGTACTTCTTGGAAAATTAGAAGGAGCTTGAACTTTCTTCGGAACACTAGAACGAACTTGAACATTTCTTGGAGCTTTTGGAGGATTTTGAACAATGCTAGAAACTTTAGAAGGAGCTTGAGCATTGATTTGAGCATGCACAACTGTGGGAAATTGTACATTTCTTGGTTTCTTTGGTGGCAATTGAGAACTTGTTGGAAAATTATCAACATCATGAGCAATTGCAGCTGTTTTACCCTAATGATCAAAATTAAAATAATTAATGATCAAATTCAAAATTCATAATGACCTTATACAAAATTAAAAGGTAGATGATTAATATTTCACCTTAACAATAGAAGATATGTCTGGATCAACAGTAACGTTTGATTGCATAGAGCTATATCCATATTCCTATAATAAAATGAAAATTATAAAAACATTATAATCACAACTTAAACTACTAAAATGAACAACTACAATTACATACATAATCATTTACATAATACCTGTTCAAAGTCATTTGAAACACTATCATCTGAAGGGATATCTTCTACAATGGCAGTCTTTTTATTACAAACCTTGAAAAAAAATTAAAAGTAAAAATGTTTAATATTCTAAAGAATTTGATAAAAACAGATAAAAAAAAAGAAAATAAGTTTTTACCTGAGCACTTGGATCTTCAATCACAATTAACTCATTAGGATCAGCCAAAGAATTAGCATAAGATATAGGACACCCATTCTCGTCCAATTCCTAAGGCAAAACAAAAATGTTCAATTCTTGAACATAAATGATCAATAACAAAAACATAAATGTGCATTATTACCTGAACTACTGCTTGACCTTTAGATCTTTTATAAGGAGTGTATACTGACTTTTTCTTCAACCACTGACCCCTGGCTTTGTTATAAGCCTTCTCTAAATTACTCTTAGGCCTATAATTCCTCTCTCCAATAGGTCTTGATTTTGCCGGATTCTTAACTTCATGATCAACAATTTCAATACCTTCAACCGGTTCATTAAAATCAATAGTACCAATAACACTCTCAATCTTTTCTTTTAAAAGATTGAAATAACATTCAACCTCTGCTCTAGCATGCAAAGAGTGTTGACAACTTGTTACCAACTTAACAAATTTCCTTAGTGTTTGTGTCCTCCAAACACTTGTAGATACTACATTGGTTTTCATTGTAGGTTCATCAAGGCCATGACTACACATAGCAGCCTTAGTCCACCTCTTACATATATAGCCATCTGGAATCTTATGAACACAATTCATATGATAAATTCGAAGAGAATGACAACAAAGCAAACCCATTTCACTAAACAACATGCATGTACAACATATTGCATGTGTTTCTTTATTAAAAACAACCTCGTGCTTGATCATATCTTTCCCAGGTCTCCACAAATGATAATAATATTCAGGAAAATTCACACCAGCATCCTTATGATCACAAGCAGTACCCTTAATGAACTCTTCCTCAAAAAGCACATAAGCTTGAATAGTATACAATGATCTAGCATGAACAAGAATCCCAATGTATGCAAAAGCCAAATGACGATTACCTCTGATTGTATTATAATCTCTCCCTTTTTCTTTGCTTCTCCACTCTTGAACCACATCGAGAAACACTTGATAGAAATCACATAGACCTTGTGTCTTGTTAAGCCTTTGAGAAACTGATTTGTTAGTTGTCTCACTACGTTGAGATGAAAGCACACCTCTTGACCAAAATTTCTTTGAAAAAGCTGGACACCACATCTCTTTGATTTTATACAAATCATTCAACCAATCAACATTTGCACAGTCATATTTCAACAACATTCTGTAAATGAAACATGATCATTAAGCATAACAGTTATGATCATTATAAATAAACATTTATAAAAAACTAAATGTTCATTTCTGTAAAAATTATTTAAGAAGCTAAACAAGTATAAAGCAGAAGTACCTTTTCCAATAATGCTCAAATTCTGGTGGAGTTTCACAATACTTCAGTAAATAACCAAATAAATCAGTGAAACCATCCAAAGCTCTCAACGCCCCAATGTGTTTCTTAGAATTTTGTTCAATATGCCACACACATAATCTATGATGAACACCTTTGGGGAAAATATTTCTTATCCCAGCTGCAATTGCTTGAGCTTGATTAGTCATAATAGTAATAGGACTTCTCCTTCCCATAGAAGTTAGAAAAGTATCAAATAACCACTCAAATGATTATGTTCTTTCATTAAGTATAAATCCCATGCCAAACATCACATTATTTGCATGATGATTCATACCCACAAATGGCGCACAAATCATACCATATTTGTTAGTCCTATAAGTAGTATCAAAAACTAAGAAATCACCAAAATAATGATAATCTCTCATCATCCTTCCATCTCTCCAAAAGAAATTAACCAATGCACCATTTTCATCTTGTTCAAAATCATAATAGAAATCTGCTTCATCAATTTGTCTCTTAGCAAAAAATTTGATTAGTTGATTGCTGTCACCTCCCCCAAGTTTAGCTGTCTTTTCAACAGAAATAACATTATAAGCATCAGGAGCTGTAAAACAAAGGTTAGGAGACCCTCCAACCTCCTTCTTCAAAGCTCTCAAAGAATCAGAAACTTTAACTCCACTCAATCTAAGTGTAGAAATGAAATTAATATGTTCCTTAGAAATATCCCTTTGAGACCTTATTAAATGTCTCTTGTCAACAGGAATCATTTCATGATTATGAACCATCTCATGTCTTGTACATGTATATACACCTGAACGGTCAATACTAAACTGCACAAAAGCTAAGCAACCAGTCCTTATGTTAAGTCTCTCATACAACCTATTATTCCTGCACTTATCATCTTTAAAACCCTCATTTGTACAAACAAATCTTTTCATAGAGAATGAATCATCTCTTCGCCTCTTACTTTTTCCAATTCTAATTCCAAAGCCCTTTCTAAATGCATATTCATTAAACATTTCATAAGCCACATCTTCAGAAGGAAATTGTTTCCCATAAAATTCAAAACTAGCTACTTCCTCAAATAAAATAGCATTCTTTTTTTCCACTGCAATATTAAAATGTAACAAATAAACACAAATAATAGCAATAATGTACAATAACCACATGTAAACTGTTAATGATCATTTATCATTACATAAATGAACATATATCAAAATGATAATAAAACATATAAATGAACATTTATGATTACATAGATAAATGTAAATTACAGTAATTACACCTATGTTAACGTAAATGTACATATAATATAACATACATGAGCATTAATTGAATGTCAAATTTTATAAAACTATAGACATTCATTAAAATGCAGAAAACTGGAAAAAACATCAATCGAATAACAACATTACAAAGAAAAACAATAAAATCACAACAATACATCACAAACTATAAATTAAAATAATCATAAATAAAAATTAAATCAAATATTATAATCGACCATAATTTTGATTTTAATTCATACAATAAGCAATAACAATTAGCTAAACAATAAAATCAAAAATTATAATTGAGCATTATATAAACTATAGTTCATACAATTAGCAAAACTATGAAATCAAAAATCAAAATCGAACTATTACACGCGAAAAACAGAGCATAATCAAAATCGAATGATTGAGGAAAAAATTACTCACATTGTTTCGAAAACGAGTCGACTAAACCAACTCCAGCAGAAAAAATAGAATCACAATCACGATCAAAAGCAATTAAGCTAGAATCACTGTCACGATCAAACACAATTGAGCTAGAAATTTCCATGGAAGAAGAGAGAGAAAAATTGGGGGAAAAATAAAAAATGCAGGAGAGAGAAAATGAAATAAGTAAAATATGAGATAAATAAAATGGAAATTAGGTTAAGAAAATCATTATATAGTTGCTTGAATAGAAAGTTAACAAAAATGAAAAAAGATGAAGAAAAAAAAATGGCAGAATGGTTCAATATAAAACGACGTAGTAGCATGGGGGTGTAGGAGAAGCTGGCTACCCTAGAGTCTAGGCAAAAATTTGTAAATTTTGGTACCCCCTCTTGTGTTTTGTTTATAACCTAAAAACGGCAATAAGGCTAATTTTTAATTTATTGAATCATCACCGAAGACCTACCCTTTATTAAATCAACATCAAACGACAGAGTTCCTCAATAGGAAGCCCACGTATTGACTTTTGTCTTTTTCTTAAGTATTGACTTTTGTTTCGCTACAGCTTCGATTTCTGCATTCCATCTTGCGATCATGCAAATATGATGCGAGCATGATGTTGCTTGATTACCAGTCATATCTATATAACAATTTCTATATGCATGCTATTAAAAAAAATCTTAATTTCTACATGTCAATATTAGAATCAAGTAGGGGATAATTCAAGCAAACACTAACTTATGGGTCAAAAGTTCGTATATCAATCCCTAAATCTTGAAATTTAAAAAACATATGTGATTCATCAATCTAATGGATCTTTAATGCGATGAACCTTTTACTTTACAACTTCCTAAAGCTTGGTAAAGACTCCCTACTTAATCTTTTAAATTAGTCTTATTTGATTACAATTAATTACTACCCTAATATCACCACTGCACACACGGCATGCCGCATGTGTCACGCACTGCACCTAGTGTTGGAACCCGACCCCTACACCTGGCCTTGTTTTGATAAGTACCGAAAAGAAATTGAGATACACGATAGATTAATCGAGAGAATAGGGTAAAGGTTTGAGGGAGGAGACAAATAACATATGGACTAACCGATGTGCTTTTCAAGAATGAAAACCATAAAATTCTAAGGCTCAATTTTATTGGTTTTATTTGGGTAGAAAATAATTTTGGAAATGAATTTCTTTCGATTATTCATTTCCTTTATTTATTTTTTTTTTGACAGTGAGAACAAAGAAAAGAAAAACAAACAAACAAACTTAAAAAGACCAAAAAAGAAACTCCCGAACACGAGCCTTCCCAACCAATCAATGTGCTGGAGATCGATACCTATTGCCTAGGAACTTTTCGAATATTACAGGCCTCAATAGTAGCCAAAAGAGCCCGAATATCCTGAATTAAATTAACCAACAGAGAGAAATGTCGTCACGCTGTTTCTGGGCCAACGTCATACAAAGTGGCTCGCAATTAGAGAAAATAAGGATCCTATGAAACCCTTGTGTGGACATGACGTAACCCCCAATAACAAGCCTATAACTCGGAATGGAGAGCTGAAGAGGATAAAGAAGCAAGGGGTACCCCCTCCTCGCACTACAAGCGAATCATAATCTTGAAAAATCCAATCCGCACCAACCGAATTATCCAAGGACGACCATGCCCCATCACAAATCAAACAGATGTCAAAACCTGAAGCAATCTCCCCAAAAAGAGTGGCCACCACGCCTAAACTAGGAATCCTAGGCCCAAGATCCCCCAAGACAGGATGACACTAATCCTGAGCTTGTTGACCTCGCATAAACCACTGAGAAGCAAGAAGCAGCAAATCATCCGGCGAGACTGCCTGATGTCAAAACCTGATATTATTACGCAAAAGCTAAATAGCCCATAAAAGAGCGAAAAAATGCACCAATTTTTCCCAGTCCTTAGCCACCCTTAACAGTGAAATCATCAAGGAAAACCATTGAGGAAAAGGCAGGCGAAGAAGACCTTGGCTATTAAACTGAAAATAACTACCGACCCATAAAAGAGACAACAAAGTCGCAATCTCTAAACAAATGGTCTACCATCTCCAGCTCCCTATGGAAAAAGCAGCAAACAGGATCAACAGAAAGACCCCGAACAACTAGAGATGCCGCCACCGGAAGACCAAACTGAATTATTTTCCAGCCAAAGATATTCCATTAGGAAGGAGAGGAAAACCCCAGAATTTCGCCCACCAGGAAGAGGGAATAAACCCCCCATAAGGACGCCTAGAATTCTGCATGAGCAAGAGGGTATAAGCAGAATTTGTAGATAAGGAGTCGTCTTTAGTAAATTTCCAATACACAAAGTCATCCATGAGCTTCAATAGACGATCTATACTTAAAATAAATCCGATTAGCCGTTGGACTATCGAAAAGCCGATGGACCTTCAAGGGGTCCCACGCGTTAGAACGCGGATCAATGATATCAGACACATGAGTCGGAAGTTTCGACTGGGATGAACCAAACTTAAACAAAATCGGACCACCAGGAGCCCACTCGTCAGCTGTAATACAAACACTCCTACCACCACCTACCTTCCACCAGACACCTGGAGCTACCGCAGATAGTGCCATCTGTAAACCCCAACACCCCCAAGAGGGTCGAGACACTCGAGCACCCGCAGCATAAGCGAGAGAAAGGTACTTAGAAAACATGAGGCAAGAAACCATCAAGTGAGGATTATGTATCATCCGCCATCCAGTTCCAGCGAGGAGGGTTGAGTTAAAACAAGCAACATTGCGTAAACCTAGCTCGTCCAAGCCTTTTGGCAAATGCAAAAGAGAAGCCAAGCGTAAGGCCAAGCCCTTAGTAGAGCCAGAAGATCTCCGGTAGAAACTGGCTAACATACTCTCGAGCTGGGAAGCAATAGAAGATGAAATCTTGAATGCCGACAAAATTTTATTAAAGGAAGCCACCAACACCGAATTTATAATGAC